TTCCCAGAGCTTGGCCAGGCAGGTTCTGTGGTTGTGCAGATGCTTTCTCCCAAGGTTTGGCAAGCCTGCTGGATCCCAGCTCCCATCAACTCTGACCATTGATCACGTTGGCTGAGGCTGATGGAGTCCAACGAGATATGGAGGGCCACAGGTCCCCCACTCCTGCCTCAAGCCTTAAAAACAAGCAAACCTTCGGTTATTTGCTTAGCTCTGTTTTAACTAAGATTCGTTTCCAAAGCTGAGGGGAGAAAACATAGTGTTGATTGTGTGCACGGTATTCATTTAGCTTAAAATGCTATTTTTTTAAAAAAAAAAACAATTTACTAGAGCGCAGCCAAGATTGTGAGTCAATTTAGAACTCTCGGTTGTCTGTGCGCAAATAATTGATTAGCCACCTTTCCAGCACTCAGTGAGAAATAAATGGAAGCAAAGCAATGCCAATGGCCAACAATGCCATACAGCAACAACAAAAACAAAACAAAACACCAGTAAAACAAACAGGTGGCCAGCTTCAAACAAAGAGAGAGATGCATTTGCAGCCCAAACACCAGGTAGACCAATGTAGAGGGGGAATGCATCTTAGAGCCATGGGGCAGTTCTGTATAAAGCTCTGCTGTGACAGACTAGCTCCATCAGGCTTCATTTCCTTCAACTGTCATCTGGAGGGGCATCAGACCACCTCAGCAGGAAAGATAGGAAGCAGGGCTCATTCTATCAGCTCTGCTGAAAGCCCAACTCCATCAGGTACCTCCTGTCCAGAATGGAGCTGGCTGGTCATTATAGGAACATAATGCTTAGAAATTGGTGCCTGAGTTTGGAGTTCAATTTTCCTCTCCCCACCCTGTCCCTTTCCCCTTGTGTGGTGGAGATTGTAAGCCTGTGGGTAGGAACTGTCTTGTTTTGGCTGCCTATCCTTCAACAAGATAAGTTTTGGGAACAAAGAGGGAGATCTGGTGGTGGGGGGTGTGCCAAAATCAGTCATTATGAGGTAGGCCTAACCTCTGGGAGTGTTTAGAAACTTCTTTGGCTGTTCCCCCTCCCCACTAAGCTGGGGGACTTTGTTACTCAATTGCCAGCCACATTTCAAAATTTGGTGATGGCTGTATCTGAGATAGACTAAACTGGAGTGCTGTTATCTTTTAAGGCACACACAAAATGAAATAAAAGCAATAATGGCTTTTTGGTAAGTTCCAGTCACTCCCCTCTTAAAGGTGAACTTTGCAGCTATCATCGTCAGGAGTTATTTCATTAACTCTCTTTAGAAAATTTAATCAAAATGGAATCTAGTTACTTGGGCTTTTAAATAAAGTGGCTAAATGCATTTTGGGGCACTCAAACTTAAATGACTCATTTCCTTCAGCTAGTCATTGAGTCAGAGCTCATCTCAGTGCTTCACAAGTGCAAGGAAATGAGCCTGGTGTTCTTTCACTGCATGAACTTCAATATACTCCCCCCACACATACTTCAACTGCATTCAGATAAACAGGCTGTCCTTCACCTTCCCAACTTGAAGGAAGTATGGCTGAAACAATTGTACATGCCTTTTCATGTTTGGACACTAGCACTTAATAAACCTGCCAGACTAGGAGGAAGAAACTTGGATGGAAGGCAGGCTAAATCAATGCTCATCTCCATTTCAGCTAATAGCCTTGTTCTCACATCAAACTAAACCATGGTTTCTTCAACTATGGTTTATTAAAACATGGCTTAGCATTGTGTGAACCTTGACTAGTAGCTTAACTATGGTTTGTTTACTGCCAACAAACTATGATCTGTAGCCCTGGTTTGTTATTGGCTTATAAACCTTTGTTTGTTTTAACTATGGCTTGATATTATGTGTAAATCCAGGACCCCACCTGGGTTTCTTAACTACTGTTTTTAAAAAAATCATCTCACCCCGAACCAAACTATAAAGGCATGAAGGAAGGGCAGCTAAAGAAGAAACCAGACCTTGAAAAAATGAGCCATGGTTTGTTTGATCATCTGCAGAACAGCTTCCAGTTAACGCACAGTTTTTAAACAAACCGTGGCTTAAACAAACCATGGTTTACCATTACATGTGAACCAGGTCAGTGCCAGAATAATGACATCATTCTCAAAACATGCAAGTCTTGTTCAGAAATTCGCCTCCTCAAACAATTAGGATTGCAATTAGAATCACATGATGAGGGAGGGGCTACACTAGCTTGCTCTGCCTCCTTAGTCATTTTCCCACTGCTTTGCTCCACTGCCCGCTACGCACTGGAAGCAAAACATCTGCAGTGGGAAGTGTAGCCAATGTGGAGCCTTCCAGATGTTGCCGGACTACAGCTCCCATCAGCCCCACCTGGCATGGCCAATGGTCAGGGATGATGAGAGTTGTAGGGGAATGCCACATAGAGGGCACCTCATTGGCTAGGTTGGTGGGCATCCATCTGTCTCGGAAGACAGTGGAAGAGTGTGCCTTTGGGAGTGAGGTCAAGCTGTTGGATGGTTGCTGTGGTTGTAGAGACTGATGCAGGAGAAACATGTTTTGTTGCAGGTGGGGCAGATGAAGGTGCCCAGTTGTGCTGCTGCAGATGCACCATGGTGTTTCTTCTCTGTGCTCCTCCCAGCGGTCATTTCTCCTCTGGTCACTGCTATGGATGCACAACTTGACAGCCTGTCTCCAGGCACTGCAGTCATCTGCAAGGGATTCCCACATGGCGGAGTTGCTGTTGCCCGCCTTCACAACCCATTTGCAGCTTACAGAAACCAAAATATCATAAGCCTTAAAGAACTATAAGCCATGAAAAGCATATGACAACATAAAAACTTCAGCAGCAGAGAATTAAAGTAGCATAACAAAACTCACAAACAAAACCAGAGAATATTAAAAAGTAAACAAAAAATAGTTTTAAAAGACCTGGGAAAATCAACAGGTCTCCCATCTGATGCTGAAAAGGCCGAAGAATGGTCCCTAGGCAAGCAGTGCCTTCCTGTGCTTTTCAGACTCTGGGTGCTTACAAAGTTGCTGTTTTCAGGTGGGATTCTACCACACTGGTAAATTTGTGTTGTGAAATTAATATTGATTTGGAGCCCTTGCACACCAAACCCACTTTCTCGTAAGATTGGACTTTTCACGATTTATTTATTTATTTGCAGTATTTCCAGCCCGCTCTTCATTTAATGTTTTCAATCCTAGTGCAGGAAACAAACCAATAAAAATAAACAGAGAAAAACAATATACAGAAAATTACACAATCCTAGAAACAGGTCCAATAAACAACAATTCTATCATAAAGTAAGCACGTGTGTGTGTGTGTGTGTGTGTGTGTGTGTGTGTCAGACATACTCTCCAGGGATAACATATCAGCTGGCTGCTCTGTCTCCCCCATCCCTTCTCCCAACACCTCCCAACTCTTCTGTTCACCTGTCTCTGAGCTGTGACCGTCCTCCAACCACTGCTTTAACTCAATACTGCCTTCCTCTCCTCTGGAAGCTCCAGGAGAAGAGCGGGGGCGACTTCCACCATTCCTCCTCAATCTCTCCCCCTTCAGTCCAGTTCCTGACACTGGCAGGCAGTAAGAGGGGGGCAAGTGGGCAGGAAGGCCTTTTAGCCTGGACATCAGGCTCAAGGGGGAGTTCAAATTCAGACATTTGGACACTAGTTGCAGGGTGTCCATGGCTTGGCTTTTGAGAAACAGTACTTATTGGGAACCACTGAGCACAAAGCCCACCAAGGTTATGCTCTTAGGCTATTTCACAATAGGGGGAAATTTCCCAATTTGTTCATTCGTCTCCTACCCACCACTCTCGATTCCTCTTTGGAATCCACCACTTTTTGCTGTCTCATATTTAAATTATAGCCATTTCTCATTATACGCAGGATCTTGATTTCTCACCCCATCCTTCTGAAATGAAAAGCGGAGGAATCAAAGTCAGGTGCCTCATTAGCAACCGGCTGTGTTTCCGGCGCATCATCTTTTATGTAAGGGAATGTGGCATCCCTCAAGGCGCCCAGATTGGTGGAGAGTATCGAGGAGGAGCAGCTCCTTTAGTAAACAACTTGCTCGCAGCCCGGATTGTGCTATACTTGACTGCATTCTTGATGAATAAGAGCTCAAGTGGCACATCTCAAGAGAGGCCATAAGCAGGAAACAGCCACGAAATGAGAAGAATAATTTTGCGATGATGATTCGCTCTTATTCCATAGATGTGTGCCTTTCTGTGATGTTAAGACCAGCATCGGTACCTGCTAGTCACAATGACCATGTTCTGCCTGGGCTGTTGGAGTCAGCATGTCTCTGAATAGAAGTGGTTGGAAATCACAAGTGGAGAGGGGTCTGTTCTTCTCAGGTCCTTCTTTGCAGGATTCTAATAATAATAATAATAATAATAATAATAATAATAATAATATTTATTTATACCCCGCCCTCCCCAGCCAAGGCCAGGCTCAGGGCGGCTAACAAGCAATAATAAAAACAAGTTGAATGATTACAACTTAAAAACAAAATTAAAATACATTAAAATATTGAAACATTAAAATATTAAAATGTAGCCATGTGGATGGCCTATAGGAACTGGCTGCTGGACCTGATATGCCATTTATAGGATCCAGCAGTGCTTTTCTTAACCCACAACTCATTGAAAAAATAATGAATGCCCCAAGTTCTCTCCTTCCTTCCTTCCTTCCTCCCTCCCTTCCTTCCTCCCTCCCTCCCTCCCTCCCTCCCTCCCTTCTTTCCTTCCTTCCTTCCTTCCTTCCTTCCTTCCTTCCTTCCTTCCTCCCTCCCTCCCTCCCTTCCTCCCTTCCTTCCCTCACCCCAACACCTTCCCTCCTTCTCTCTCTCCCGCCAGCTGCTCTCACTACCTGTGCTCTGGCTCCCTCCTTGTGGATTTTCCTCTTGCCTGTGGATGTAGTCTTCCGTGGGGCCATTGGGCCAGAGGAGGAATCAGTTCTGCTCACAGCCTCAGGCAACAAAACTCCCCTCACCTGCCCGTGTCCTTTTCAGGGACCAGCTTAAGATAAAGTATGAGCAAGGGATGTGGCTCGGTGGTAGAGAATTTGCTTGGCATGCAGAAGGTCCCATGTTCAATCATTGGCATCTCCAGGTGGGACTGGGAATGTCCTCTGCATGAAACTCCTTTGAGCTGCTGCCAGAAGTGGCAGCAATATTGAGCTGGATGAACTAATATGCTGACTCAGTATAAAGCAGTTTCCCATGTTCCTAATCTGTCAGGAATGAGAATTTGACCTGGACAACTCCTGCAAGGTTTCCCTTCAGACAAATGTCAATTTTGCTCCACAGCAGATGGGTAGGAGAGGGCAGGGCTGGATTTATGTTTGATGAGGCCCTAAGCTACTGAAGGTAATGGGGCCCTTTATATAGCAGGCGGGGCCCATTACTTACATCATAGGAGCCTGTTGTTGTTTAGTCGTTTAGTCGTGTCCGACTCTTTGTGACCCCATGAACCAGAGCACGCCAGGCACTTCTGTCTTCCACTGCCTCCCGCAGTTTGGTCAAACTCATGCTGGTAGCTTCGAGAACACTGTCCAACCATCTCGTCCTCTGTCCCCTTCTCCTTGTGCCCTCCATCTTTCCCAACATCAGGGTCTTTTCCAGGGAGTCTTCTCTTCTCATGAGGTGGCCAAAGTATTGGAGTTTCAGCTTCAGGATCTGTCCTTCCAGTGAGCACTCAGGGCTGATTTCCTTCAGAATGGATAGGTTTGATCTTCTTGCAGTCCATGGGACTCTCAAGAGTCTCCTCCAGCACCATAATTCAAAAGTCTCAATTCTTCGGTGATCAGCCTTCTTTATGGTCCAGCTCTCACTTCCATACATTCTGGGAAAACCATAGCTTTAACTATACGGACCTTTGTTGGCAAGGGGCTGTCTCTGCTTTTTAAGACACTGTCTAGGTTTGTCATTGCTTTTCTCCCAAGAAGCAGGCGTCTTTTAATTTCGTGACTGCTGTCACCATCTGCAGTGATCATGGAGCCCAAGAAAGTAAAATCTCTCACTGCCTCCATTTCTTCCCCTTCTATTTGCCAGGAGGTGATGGGCCCAGTGGCCATGATCTTAGTTTTTTTGATGTTGAGCTTCAGACCATATTTTGCTCTCCACTTTCACCCTCATTAAAAGGTTCTTTAATTCCTCCTCACTTTCTGCCATCAAGGTTGTGTCATCTGCATATCTGAGGTTGTTGATATTTCTTCCGGCAATCTTAATTCCGGCTTGGAAGAGGGAGTGCAAGACCTAGGAAAGGAGAAGGTGGGTGGGACGTCTCCTAAGGACACTCCCAATATATGCAGGAAACCCTACTTGGGCCCATAATGTGCATCCAGTGCATCAACATGCTCAGCCCAAATTTTATTAATGGAGGGAAAGCAAAAGGATTGCTTTTCACTTCCTCCTGACTATTAGCCATGAATATTGCAATGGAGAGTGACAGTTGCTGACTTGCAATATGAAATTAACCGTAATGAACGACTGACTTCGTTTAATTAGTGAGGATTGCAGCATGTCATCCAACATGGAATCTGAACAGCTCCAGCCTAAATTGCTCTCCAAGATGAGTTAAAGTGCACTTCCAGGTTGAGCTGGTTTGTAATGCTGTCAGCGGTCTCTGCAGAAGGAGGAAGAAGGGAGGCACAAGACAGAGAGCAGTTTTCCCATATTCACGAAAGCTCCTGACAGACTCTGTGAAGAATAAGGTGAGGAAAGCAGCATTTACAGCAAGGGAGAGATGCTCTTAGTCTGGAGGATGCACAACTAAGGGTACATATCTCCTGAGGCCACCCAGCCACCCCATTTAGGCCATGAGCTGCAGGTTCAGCTGCTAACATGCACTGGCAACAAGAGCAGTGTAAGGGCAGCTTTAAGAATTATATGACATGCATCAGCCTGTGTTTCTCAAACTTGGGTCTCCAGCTATGGCTGGACTACAACTCCCATCACCCCTAGCTAGCAGGACCAGTGGTCAGGGATGATGGGAGTTGTAGTTCAACAACAGCTGGAGACCCAGGTTTGGTAAATACTGAGGCGGCAGCTATATTCTGAGTGATATGCAAGTTGCAACCTGCAATTCCTACATTTTTGGTAATGCATCATTCTCCACATATTAATGATTTCATTTCAGTTTTCAGATAATTTCCAAGGTAGCCCCACCCTATGGTCCATTTAGCATAATACATACTTTAGCATAATAACAAGGGAAGGATTTCTCTTCTGCACTAGAACAGTCTTGTAGCCCACTTTGAGCTTATTCTTATGATACACATTGATATGGGATCATTGCAGAGGGCACAGTTTTCAAATACAGTGGACGCTTGGGTTGCAAACATGATCCATGCGGGAAACACGTTCACAACCCACAGCATTTGCAACCCACAGCACTGTGTCTGCGCACGCACGGGTCACGATTTGGCGTTTCTGCACATGCGCAAAGCACGATTTAGCATTTCTGCACATGCACAAGCGCCGAAACCCAGAAGTAACCCGTTCCGGTACTTCCGGGTTCGGCGTGGTACGCAGTCCGAAATCACGCAACCCGAAGCATCTGTAACCCAAGGTATTACTGTATTGTCTTTCTGGAGGCTGAGGTCACTGCAGATCCCATGCTCCAACATCAGGAAATTGGGCTATGGGGTACACTCAGGAGGTGTGGTGTTGTTGGCAACACTTCCAGGGGTGAAGTCAAATGGCTGCTTTAGCATCACTGATGTGACCTCCCTTGGGTGGAAGCCTGGGCACTGTGTAGGGAGGTCCTGGGCTGCCCCAATGACAAGACCCCCTCTTGGCTTCGCTGATGTGGTCCAAAGGAAAGCAGAGCAATACATTTGACCCCAGCTTGGCTGCAGGAATTGCTGGAAGGAGGCGTGCAAGGCCCCATCCAACTGTCTTAGGGACTCCACTCTAGATTTGTGTAGGGCTAACTCCTTAGCACTTTCTTATCCTGAAGATATTCCACAAGGCAGCAGGATACCACCCAGACACTCAGGAGCATTATTTCCTATTAAGGAGGCAGTGACAAGCCTATCCACTCCCTAGCAAACTGCCTCCTATGCCAATCATCCTATCCTCCTTCTAACATGTAAGATTCTTGTTGTTGTTGGAAAATGGGGAGCAGCAACAGCAGAGGTCTGATAATGTCAGTAAACCTCATTATAAGCCACAGCAAAATTCAGAGGGCTTTGGGGCAGTTCATAATAGGGTGGCTTCTGAACCGGATGAGTTCATAATTTGTCTTGGCATAATCAGTGAAACTAGACTAACTCTGTCCGCTTCTAAATTTCACTAAAAGTCAGTGTCACATAGGCTTTGTTCTTGGAAACATTGTGCTGGTGTAAACACTGCTGAAGTATGGATATTGATCGTTCAAGGAAGTTACATGAGAATCAGGCTGGTCATTTCAAAAATCCCATGATGCCTTTTCTGGCATCCTGGATAAGGTCCCATGGTCTCCGCTCAAGAGCACAATGGTGAACCTAATTTTCAAGGATCTCATTGCCAAAGCATGTTTGCTGAGCCGGCGAGGCTTCCAAATTCTGTTTGCGGGTGAGAAACAGGGTGAATGAGCTGTGTTGTGTTTCTGCTTTACGAGAAAGCTGCTTTCTGCCAGAAAGCTTTCCTACTATGCAAGCTGCCAAGCTTTGGCAATAGCTGCACTGAAGGTGCTGTCAGTTTGCAAAGTTGTTTGTGTTGCTTGGGCAAAAGCTGAGGAAGAACACTGTTGTGGCCTGCTGTTTAGTCATGAAAAGGAGAAAGATTGCCGTCTGTCTACCACCTGGGTGAGCCTGGTTGCTAGTGGGAATAATAAAAACCAGTGAATGGACCATTGGCTACAGCAGGCATACCATGTTTATTCCAGTGGCCATTCTATGGAATGAGCCTAGGTACATAGTGCTTCCCAGATAGCCCCATACCATCCATTTCTCAATGCTCAAGGTGGCTCATGTAAAATCATAACATAAAATGCTTAAACAATGATTAACACAAGAACCAGAATAACTAATGGAAAAACTGCCATCAAGGATAGGCTTGAGGAAAAGAAATTTTTATCTGAATGAAAGCAGAGATGGAGGTTGGTGGAACCTCAACCTGCGGGGCACCTAGGAGGTCATTTGCATGGTGCCTAGGTTCCCATCTTCCTCCCTCATGAGTAATTCCAGCTTTCTGCCCCGCCTCTTTTGCCATGCGCTTAAAACTGAATGCACACAGTTGCATAAGTTGCAGGCCTATTGTACTAAGTCAACCATTCTAGGGCTTCTTTCCCTGTTCTATTAAGGGAGGAGCCTGATGCAACTGACTCTCAGGTAGATAGACAGAGGATTGCAGGCAGCAAACTTCATTCACCAAAATAAAACCGTAGAAATTACCCCAGTGTCATATAGTGAGTATCAAGGCTGAGTGAGGTTTCGAACACAGGTCTCCCAGGCAACTTGGTCATCACAGATAAAGTTGGACCTCAAAGCAATCCCCAGCCTTCCACTTCAGCCAGGAATAGGGAATGGGCTTGGTCTCCAACTCCCTTTGACTCCAGCCAGCATGGCCAATGGCCAGGGATGATAGGAGTTGTAACACAACAACATCTGTAAGTCCTCAGGTCCCCCATCCTTTAAGGGGTGCAGCCCATCTGGAAGAATCTGATCAAGTGAACTAGTGGTCGAGTAACAATACTTGTGTCTTGTCTGAATTTCTGCCAATCATAAAATTACTAGTCTAGTTTCCACTCCCTAGAAACTCTGAACTTGCATTACAAAAGGCCTCACCATTTCAGACATGTTGTATAGAAAGACTTCATTAGATGGTATGTATTCAGAAACAATACCATGAATAGTTGTCAGCTCAAGATTAACTACAGAAGTGTAAGAGATCCCAGATGCTTCAGTATCTCAGGATTTACAACAGAGGGAATTCGGAGAGAAGAGAGCAAGCTGCATATGGTTTTTCTCCTGCATTTTGAAAAAATATTCCTTAACGTTTTCATTCTGCAGAGATTTGTAAGAGGATTTTTTTTAGTACTTCACTTTTATTTTTATTTTGCATGGTAAAAGGTGGCAAATCATTGCAGCATTTGGAGAGAAAAAAGGGGCATATGCTATTTTTCC